GTAATCTCTGATCCTTGCAACGACATCCAAAGGCGACCTTTCAGGTCCTTTTTGCACACGGAAACCCCAAGGCTCGAGAGGCCGGGTGTCTTGCTCACAGCCGCCGGCCAGTGAGTGGCGGAGCCAGGCTCCGTCCCTGTGTGAGTGCTTCACGCCCTGCATGGATGAGGCCGGAGGACAGGACTGTGCGCAGCCGTCTGGAGCACCAGGAGCTGCCTGCCACCCAGGACAGAGAGACCAGAGAGTGGACGGGGCCGGATGTGCTTTGGAGGGGCAGGAGCCCTGTGGTTTCATTTCAGTTTGGGGGCTGGGGAGGTCTGGGAAAGGGGAGAGCTGGGAAGGTGGCTGTGTGGAAAGCAGGCGGTGACACGGGGGACGAGGGCCCGTGTGCTGCCACCCCATGCCCGGGGGCCAGGTGGCCTGGTGAGTTCGCCCTCTGTGGACTGTGACTTCTGCTTGCTGACGTTCTCCTCAGCCACAGCCACCTGGCAAGGGGCACCAAACCTTGCCCTCCATTTCGTCCTGAAGGGAGACGCCACCCAGGGAGTGTTCATCAAGCTGGCAGGCAGCAACACGGCCGTCTCTTTGCAGGGTGACTGGTCCAGCCCCCTGTGCTGTGTCATCTCTGAGGCGCCCAGCACACTGCCAGGGGACAGGAAGCCCGGGGAGCCCCACCGACCCACGAGCCCTTCCTAGGAGCCGGCTTCCGGGCGTCGCTGCTTTTGCCTCTTCAGGCCACACGGGGCGCTGTGAGCAGGGCCTCTCCGGTCGGTGCTGTTGGCACTGTGCTCAGTGACTCGAAGGCGACCAGCGCGGCGGCTCCATCTGTGTTGCAACAGCTTTCTCCGGAATGCGGAGCATTTCCTGAAAGATCGTACTCTGGATTTAGACGCAGTCTTACTCTTATCAGAAGGAATATCCGAAAAAAAAAATAACCCTAAGATGGTTTTGCAGGGAAACAAAGGAAGTGATTAATAATATACTTGGAAATATAAGTAGTCTTTACAATAGAAAACATTAGAGTAAATAAGCAACCATTTAGCCTCATCTCTTTATCTACCTTTTAGCAATCTCATGACTTACTTGTACCAAAGCATAAAAGTGCTTCCTGGAAATAATACATACATACATACATACATATATATATATATATATATATTTTTT